ACCCGTCCACCCACCATCAGGTCCACCCACCATCAGGTCCACCCACCATCAGGTCCACCCATCAGGTCCACCCATCAGGTCCACCCCCCCCACCCATCAGGTCCAGTCCGCAAAGGATTTATCGACGCTGCCAGAAGTGACCTTCTGGATACTTGCGGAGCAATTCTTCCGTGAGTTGAAACTCCTCCGATAAAAAGCGCTGCGTGCCTTCATTCATCACACTACAATACAATCACACGTACAACCAGGTGCACACACCCAAGAGAACTACTCATGCACCTACCAGCACCCATCACACACCAAAAGAACCGGTACACACCTATATATGTGTGTTCAGCACATACGAGTGTGTTCAGCACATACGAGTGTGTTCAGCACATACGAGTGTGTTCAGCACACACGTGTGTGCGCGCGTACTTTTCCAGTTGTTCGGACAATTCGACGTCAATTGGCTTCAGACCAAGCTGGCTGCAGTACATATTATTATTCCAACCAGTGGGGCCCGCGGTCGTTCGCGGTTCTTCCAGGCCTACTTCCGTCCTGAGAGTCACCAGCAAGTCCATTTCCAGAGGCGTGAGGGGTTCTGCCGTATGTCCGTGGCCCGTTTCAGCGTGGTTGAGGAGGGCGGCGCTAACAGTGTCCACAATCAGGGTGACAACTTTGGCGACCAGTGGCTCGCAACTGGTCCAGAGCAGTCCGTCGCCTTTGTCGAGGATTTGGGCGACCTCTCCGTACTGGTCTTGACGATGGCGCAGTTGTTGCGTAGAGCAATAGTGCGTCAGGTTCACTTTGAGCCCGGGACCTTCCGGTCCAAAGCGGTTCGGTTCACGACCATCCCACTCAGGTCCGGGTGGGTCACGCACGATGTAGATGGGTTCCCCTTCGAAACCAGTGAAGCTTTCGCGGGCACGAAGGCACCAACGTCGCAACCGCCGTTGCCGCTCCGCGACACCGAGCACGCGTACCACCGGCACAACCTGCTCCATCAACAGATGTCGCGTCTCGGTCCACAGAAAATGTCCACCGGTCGCACCCTCCAACCCTGAACCTAACGCCTCACTCAACTTTCGCCAAATGTCGATCTCCGGTGGCAGTAGCACTACCCGTCCTCGCAGCAGACTCGGCTCCGGGTCTAAGCCCAACTGCAATCCGGACGGGGTGACATGTGTGTGTTTGCGACACGCGGACGTGGCGGACGTGCACAGCATCGCGTGGAAGGTCCGCGTCGCGCTTTCGCTCACCTTCGTAAAGACCGCGCATCGCAGCAGGTTCCGATGCTCGGCACTGGACAGCACGCGTTGGTATAGCGAAGCCGCCTGCTCGCCAATTTGTTCTCCCACCTGTTTGCCAGCTACTTGTTTGCCAGCTACTTGTTTGCCATCTGCTCGTTTGTCCACCATGCACTGTTCATTCGTGACCTGTTCACTTGTGCCGAGCAGTTCATGTATGTTGAGGTCAATGAGTGTAATGAGCTGCACCAGCAAGAGTTGTGCCAGGTTGAGACAAACGCCGGTGGGGTACACATTCTCCAGCGTTGTTACCGCCGTACCCGGGAAGGCTGGATAACGGTTCCAGGTGCCCACTGTCACGGCCAGCACGAGGTCCGCTTCGGTCGCTGAGGCCGCGGTTGAAAGCTCCTTAACGTTTCGCAACGCACTGCTCCCCAACTCGTCTTCCCAAAAGGCGTCGTCGTTAATTACGTCGCGAATGCACTGCGACGAAGACTGTGCCGCTACCGACTTTCCAAACCGCTCGAGCCAGCCACTCATGTACCCCTTTATCGTCTCGTTCAACGAATATTCAGCCATAGACCACAACGAAGACTGCAATACAGGCACGTGTAAGTGGTGGTAGTGTAAGTGGTGTAAGTGGTGGTGGTGGTGTAAGTGGTGGTGGTGTAAGTGGTGGTGGTGGTGGTGTTTACGTCTTCGTAACTTCTGATTAGCCAGTGGGGCGAGAGGAAGGGAATGTTTAGGTCCAAGAGATGTGAGATGATGTAGAAGTGATCTTCGTCAAGGGTGGGTGCAGGGGCCGGTCCTTGTCGCATGATAAGGTGGAAGATATCGAAGGGTCCATTGAGGCAAACGATTATCTCTGGGTATTCTGTAATTGAGTCGAACAATTGGAGGTACTCAAGTCCATGGTTGGTATGTAATGATACCGGCGGGTCCCTTCGTGGTTGCTCCTTCGTCGTAGATGAGTTCACTGGACGCAATCCTTCTCTTGTTGGCAGAGGTACGATCTTACAGCCGAGTCCCAAGGAACTTCCTTCTTCCCAGAGGTGGCGGTCTCGAGACCTCCTCGGTCCATGCTCTTCCTTGGAGGTGGTCCCCAGCAAACAAAGTCTCACTCTTCGGACAGTGTTTTTCATTCGCGGTCCGGTGCTGCCGTCCGCGACATCGTAGATGTCCCGCTTAAAACAAAGTAATTCCGAACTGTCGGCTCGACCCGGTTTGAAGAACGGATAGGAACTTTCGGGGTAGTGATGGTCGTCCAATACGCAATATTTGCACCATAGCTGCGTCGCTATTCTCTGGTACGGCGGCGGACCCGGGAAATCCCCCACTGGATTCTGCAACTGGATAAACGGAGAAGAGCGCTGGACCGAAGGCCCCATCAAGGAGTCCCCGCCTTCACCGCGACCCCGGCGGCTACCGCTCGGCACAAACGTCCGACCTTGTAGTTCAGGCTGAGAGGGAAGATAATGCAGGTTCGTCTTGTGATGAGAGTATACATCCTGCAGAGAAGACAGACCCAGAGACGGTGGTAAAATGTGGATTATGCAGGCCGGCAAGGTGGCGTAGGTCTGTTTCTTGGGCAACTCCAATATCTTCCTGAACACGCAAGAGCATATTCCAGACAATGATGAACCTCCGACTGAATGTACATAGCTAACTAAGAACGGTTCAATGTCTTCTAGTGAATTTACGCTATTATTGATCACTGCACACGCGTGTGCGCAGGATCCATACCCCCAAAATACAAGGAGCGCGCCACGCCAGAACAAATCCCGAATGCACAATTCCAGCCGCAGATTCAAGCTGGGACCCGCTCCAGCACTATTCTCGCTCAGCGCGTCATCCATCTGGGTTACAATTTCCTCCAACTCCTCTTCAAATGGAACAGTTCCAGATGCCCAATGACCCAACGGGCCGCGACCTTGAGAGGTACCTTGAGAGGTACCTTGAGAGGTACCTTGGGAGGGCGGATGATTTTCTTGTGAGCGGCGCCGCTCCTGTGCCCGGCGCCGATCTTCTGAGGGCGGGTGTTCTGCACCATAATTTAGCTGCACCGCCGAAACGGAGGATTCTTTCTGTCTGCTACAGACCTCCGTTTCCTGCCTGCAAGAGGCCACCTCTTGTCTACAAGAAGCAGCCTCCTGTAATGACGTTGAGAAATCTTCGTTGCGCGACGTACAGAGCCACGCCGGCGGCGCTGCAGCGATCCCATGCGGCTCGTCGTAATCCGCCATTCGGCGCCTGAACGCGAGTGGAGAGGACCCCGCACTGCCCGGTGTGAGGTCTCCGCCTAGCGAGCGACCCTTCCCGACGCGATGTACCGTAGCTAACGGATTTGTCACCGACTGTCGGTTCTTGCCCCACCCCGTAGTTCCAACTCCCACAGTCCCAGTTTCGGCGGTCGGTCGACGCGACTGAGGGGCTGGCCTCGAGCCTCGCTTCTCGTCTTCGCCAGATCGCGGCTCCTCCGAAAACCGCTGAATATCGAACCGCTTCTCACGCCGCAAAGACTTGGCAACCGACCCTTGGCTGCTCTGACTGTCCCCCGCAGGCCCCTTGCGCTTTTGTCTCTCTATCCCATCCAACAGAGCTTCAAAGGAATTTAGGCTAACCATTTCATGGCTTGTATTTTTTCGTGCAGATGGACTCGACCCTAGCCAACTTTCTGGACTTGACGTTTCTGGACTCGCTACTGGTACCGGTACCGGATGCAGACCAGGCGGGAGCGGAAGCAGGCAACATAGACACCTCTACAGCAAAGGCAACCACGTCTAAGATGAATTCAACGGAGGATGAGCCGAAAGACAAGTGGAAGGATGTCGGGTCAGATGAGCCGGCGGCTGAATCGTTCGACTTGGTGATTTTGAACTCGCTGGTGACTCCTCATCTGGGTCGACTGGTTGCGCGTTGTGGCGCCGTGTTTTGTGCTGATGGAGGGAGCAATCGGTTGGTGGAGAGCGGCGTGCTTCCGGAGACAAGCTCTGCGCTCGGGCGTCTGAGTAGCTACCGCAAGTGGGTCGTGGGGGACCTAGATTCCGCCCGGCCTGAGACGCTGCGTGTGCTGCGGCAAGAACATGGCTTCGCGGTGCTCCAGCTGGTCGACGAAAATAGCACGGACTTCCACAAGGCTCTCTGGCTACGGGACCGGCTCAGAACGGGCGACCAGCCGGCCAAAACGGACCACGGCAGGGACGACCAAGACCACGGCAGGGACGACCCAGGCCAAGGTGGGGGACGACCGAGGTGGGTAATTGTAGAAGGGGGTTTCGGACTGCGATTTGACCAGTGTTTGGCGTCCATTTCGGAAGGACTCAAGTTTGCCGTTCGCCACCGCGACAGCGCGCTGCTCTTCCTGGGCGAAGAGACCTTGCTCGTGCCGCTCTGTGGAGGTCGGGAGCACCGGATGCGTGTGCCGCGATGCGCCGCCAGTTCCTGTGCCGGTGTCCTCGCTTTCGTGGACTGCACCTCGGTCTCCACCACCGGCTTCAAGTGGAACCTGGACGCCCAACCTCTGAGCATGCTCGGTCTCATCAGCTCGAGCAACCAAGTTGTGGACCCCGTCGTCACCATCACCTCCGACCAGCCACTCGTATTCTACCAACAACTGCGATGAGCCCTACGCCATAGCGATTGTTCTACCCTCTAGCGTCGCGGCCCCTATTCACCCTCCCCTGTTCACCTATTGGTCGCGTAATCCTTGGGCTAGCGGTGGCCTGGTGGTGGCTGTTTACGGCTAGTGGTGGCTGGTTACGGCTAGTGGTGGCTGTTTACGGCTGGTGGGGACTGGTGACAAAAATGTGTTATACGTGCATTTTACTCGGGTTGTCCCTGAAGTACGATGAACGTGATCAGTAACGCTGCGCGAGCGCATGGTTTCCCGCGGGAAGCGAAGCGAATGCCCGCGGTGCATGCGGAGCCTACCGCGGAGGTGGCATCGCCGGCTGTGGGTGAAGAAGCAGTGGCGGCGAGTCCGGGTGGTCCGGAGGCGGAGACGGTAGGGGAGCCGACGCCCGGCCCGGTTGGAGCCGGAGCCGAGGCGGAGGAAGCCCCTGGCCCTGGCGAGGGAGAGGATGTCCCCCCCAGTCCTGACGGCGGGGAGGAAGGCGGTGTCGCGGAGCCGGGAGCGGAGGAAGCTCCAGCGGCGCCAGTGCGGCAGCCATCGGTACCACGAGTGACTCAGGCGGAAAAGGATGCTGAATGGCGACGGGCGGGCACGATGGAATTTGAGAGTCCAGGGAACAAGAGGACAGAGTTTGGCCGTGTGGGCCCGGACTCCCGTGTGCTATTACAATCACGATTGGATGAGGCAAGTCATTTGTCGCCGAGGACGTTTGATCCAAGTCCGACGCAGTTCCGATATGCATTGGATGTGGAGGGCTACCCGTTGCATTATCGTAACCGTTCAGCGTACCCGGTGGGTGGTGTGGCGACGGCTGCTGAGATGAAGGCATTGGAGCAGGAGAATCCGGATGTATTGGCCGAGTTCCAGCGTTGTCGTGCAGCTGAGTGGCGTTGGGAAGTTAGTAGACGTCGTTCCACCCCCAACATGCTCTCCAGCTGGCTCTGCTACATGGGACTCTGCGGCGACCCACCAGGTACCGTGTCGGAGGCCGAAAGCCAATGGCCCGGTCGTGAACGACTCCAGAACGTTCGCCATCCTGTCAAGGAACGAGTCGCTGACAGCAAACTTGACCGTGTGGAAATCGCACCCGCAGCTCTCGAGTTCCGAAGAGAATGTTTCAAACAACTTACGGCCGAAAACAAGGGTAAACTACCACGAGACCAAGCCGTGCTCCTCGCACAATTCTGGGGCTACATACCCAGCGAACTTGACAAACGACGCTTCGCCGAAAAGAAGGAACCTGTACCCGAAAAGGAATTCAATAAGTGGCTCGACCAAACATTGTTGCATCCAGAAGATCGCAATCTCGCTGCCATCAAGAGCTGCTTCAAAAATCTTGACTTCAACAACAAGGGAACCGTCAGTGAATTCGCCTTCCGCTGTCTACTCAAGGACTCAGGGGAAGAACTCACCGACGAACAAATCGATGACATCATTAATCGCACCGCCTGCAGACAAGACCAGAAAATCAAATACGACGACTTCATCGAAGAACTCTGGGCACAAAACAGAAAACTGCCATCAACCACTGTCTATACACAACTGGGTATTGCCACTCGCAACCTGCCGAACATGACCGAAACGGAAGTCCATCATTTCTAAGCCACCTATCTCGCCCCCTCGAGGCACACACTTTTTCGCGACATGACTGACCAATTCATGTTCAATCACTCACTGCATTTCTCCAAGTCAGCCCGGTCAACACTTGGCTTCGCAAACGGTCCTGCGCTCTTCCGGAAATTCCGCTCCTTCAGGTCCTTCCTTCGGTCACGTGTAGCGCGCCCTACTTCCAGTGGATTTGAACGCTTGCAACTTCTAATCTGATGCCATTGCGCCTCATAAAAGTACAATATGTCGTCGAGGTTTGTTTCCCCCCCTCGCTCATCCTGACCTCCTTCGCCAGACCGCGCGCCTCCTTGCGAATCCATTGCTGCCATAATCTCTTTAATAAAATAGTATATGGCTTCGATTGTCGCTAAGCAAGAGTCGCCGTACTGTTCTTCCTTGTCATTGTATCTCCAAAACGTAGTCTTATACTTGTTGATTTTGACTGTTTTGACATTGGGAAGATAACGTCCGATAATCTGCTTAGCTTGGGACCAAGTACTATCAATTGCTATTATATTTTCGATGCCCGTCCAGTCCTCTATCTCTGCTACGTCCACAGCATCCTCACAAGGAAACAGCAAGATGGAATTTGGGTTTCCATTCAGTTCTGACAGCGTCGCACACGTGTGTTCGCTGGCAGTAAATATTTCCAAATTCGCATCCGACGAACGGCACAGCGCTTTTAAAGGGAGCACTGACGACTTTTTAATGTTCTCAGCCTGGTGTCTAACAACTGTCAAACTTATGGGGAGTTTAACCGACGGCACCGTCGACTCATCAACATTATCCGCTAAAACCATGCAGCGCGCACAAACCCCCCTAAAGCGGGAGTCATCCATAGTTCTATTTCAAACACGGACGGGAGTCTGTGAGTGCTTCTCTAACATATTTGGGGGCGACCCCCGTGAAGCCCGCCCCCTGAAGAAGGACTGGGACCCATAATCCCAAAACAACTTAAACTGAGGTCTTACCATGCTCTTAGACCGCATTTAGGACACTTGCCACGTTCTTGGCTTCGAAATGGGGGCCTGGAGAATTGAAGGACATCGAAATCTAACAGACCGCTCATCACCGACTGAATATTTGTCGTTTTCTTAAATCTGTCACTACGAAAATCCAGCGCTTAGAAACATGCGGGGGGAAATACTCTGATGGGGGGGG